AAAAAATAGTAAAAAATATTTATTCATGTATCATTACTTATAAAAGTAATAATTATTAGTGTTAAATATTGTCTATCAATTTTAATTATATCTAAACAACTAATTTAAGAGGTCTTAAATTTTTTTGTCAACCACCTATATTAATTTTTTTTTTTTAGAAGCAAGAGATATTAAATCATATAGTATACAAATATATAATATACGAATATAATGGATTAAGAGGTGTGTATTTTTCAATCTGATAACCGTACCATTTTTAAAATTTAGTTACAATAATTTTTGATAATTCTTCAAGCTAGCTAAAATCATACCAAAATATGGTTTTTTGGTATACGGTTACCTACCATTTGTTGTGGTAATAAAAAAAGAATACTGGTATCGACCAACAATGACCGATATTGTGATTTTCCCCAATCTTTGATAGAAACAAAAGTTTTCACAAATTACCCACAAATTAAGAGTTTTGCTAGAGAAAATTTTTAATCCCGATGACTCTAAACATCATTTCAGGACAAGATACAGAATCTTAGATTTGAGATTCAAATTTGAAGAAAAAGATTGAAAAAAAAATAGGAAGATTGAGAAAGAAAGAAATAAGTTACTAGTTGCAGTGATTATAACCGAAATCAATAGATGGAACGACTTTCTTATGTCTGAAGAGAAAGAGAAGTTTACCATCTGATGTGAGAGAAAATAAAACAGATTTTGGTTTTTTTTTTTTTTTTTTGAAATGGAGTTATAATGGGGGAGGTGATTCAAACTCCGGTATTAGAGTTATGAGATACATTTTACGATGAGATATATAATTATCAAATCACAAAATTTAAGTGTAATTTTAATATTTAAAATGTTAAAAAACTAAAATTAAAAATAAATGGTAAAGGGTGGTAATATGGAGGCTCATTATGGGAATATGGTGATAGACCTCCATTCCATTATTCGTACCATGGCCGAGTGGTATTTATCAAATCACCGTTTGAGCTTACCAAATGGTAATTTTACCATACCAAAACAATTAATTTTGGTTAGTAATTTTGATAAATCTAGTATGGTTAATAAATACACATTTTAAGTTAAGTGATGAAAAAAAAATTAATTTTTATTATATAACCCAATATAAAAAAATAAAATTCTCTTTACTCGTATAATATAAACTAAATTGTTTTACATTGGAGTTAATAAATCCCCAAATTCTCTTTGCCTTTGTTAATTTCTTGGAATCAAAAAATTTTTATATGAAGCTCCATTAAAAAAAATTTATACTAGGATTTTTTTTCTTTTGCAAAACATATGCCAAAAGACATAATATGCAGATAAATCTTAAATTAGGGGCGTTTCCATCTACTAAAGAAATCAAATTAACATTTAAAATAAAAATCAAACAAACAAATATGCCTCTTATTTATCATAACGCTTTTGTTGCTTTGTTACATCCATCTAAATTAGTTCACACAGCTAGCATCTTAAAACAATAACATATTGTCAAAACGCAAACCTGAGGCATTTAACACAGACATACAATACAGGAAATTAAACATGTGGTCTAATCCGCAGAAAATTAATTAAAATCCAAACCCTAAATTTTAAGTTTAGAAGAAGCCATGACCAAATCCAGGATTGATTCCCTGAGGAGGCATCATGTGATTCATGTTCATGTTTGGACTGAACCCAACGTTGTTAACCATGTTCTTGTTTGGGTCATAAGGAAGGACACCTCCTGCAGGACCAGCACTGGAACTCCCCATGTAAAACTGCTGCTGTTGCTGCGGCGGCATAGGTGGTTGTTGGGGTTGTGGTGGTGGTGGAGCAGTGCTCTGCAAAAGAACCTCCTCTGCTTGGTTTGTCACATTCTTCTTCAACTCCTGCAAAGCCTGCCTCAGTTGCTGCAGCTGTGTCAGGTTGAGCTGCTCGACTGGAGCCTCCCACCAGTTCTGGCTCGCCTTCCTCATCTGGTTCAGGTCTTCTGCACGCTTTCTTTCAGCTTCAAGTTGGTTCATTACCTACAATCCGTAACTTTGTCATAATTTGTTTTTCAATCAATCACCCAAAAGAGCATGAACCGGACGTTGTTAAACAATCTTAAGTAAATGTTAGGAGTGCTCCACCTAAAATGAATAGAACTCTTCTAATCTTTTCTAAAATCTTCTATATTTTTCCCTCATCCCTCACATTTCCCTTCGTTCAAAATAATAATAAAAAAGAGAGAAAGACATGTTAGTAAGTATTATTTAGAAGTCCTCCATCTTCGTCATTACTTGCGAAATTATTTTCAACCTTTAAAATGACACAAGTGAATGTTTGAAATCTTAAATCTAAATCTATTAACGTTTTGTAATATATAATTCCATATTTCTATCTACATTAATTCTATTAGTAATTTAGCAAAATCATAAAAGTTCATTAACTTAACCGAATCAATCCGTTAGGATAAATTTTTTGAAACGAAAAACACGTGTTTATTTTAGATCTAACCTATAAAAACTATATTAGTAATCTCTTCTCTCCCCCATCCCCACCCCACCCCAAAAAAAGTAGAGATATTTGGCTCTCAAAAAATCCATCTAGCATCTTTTCCTTGGGAAGAAGGACAAGTAAATTGTACTAATCCAATCTTAAAAGGGACGTACAAAGGTTTTTCTAGGCATACCTTGAACAATTGTTTTAAGATGCATACCTTGAACATTAGTTTTAAGACGATTAAATGGATGGAAATGATCAAATTGCAAAGCTTTAAAGGGTCAATGATCCAAATGTTCAATCTTAAAGGCAAAAAAAACTCCTTTGCAAAAAGATCCTAAAAGGTGGAGGACTAAAATAATATTTTATCCAACAGAAATACCTGAGTGAGCTGCATATTTAGCTCCCGTACATTGGCGTTCCGGTGAGCTTCAATGAGCTGCATGGTGCTGGAACTTTGAGGAGCGCTCCGGCTGACAAAACGATCGATCAAAGTTTCAACCCCGGGATGGCCAAAAGAGAAGACCTTATTGCCTGGAGAGAAGACAACAAGAGCCGCTTCAGCACCACAGAGGGTGCAGAGTTCACTGGCCTTTTTGAAAAGCCCGGACCGACGTTTTGAGAAGGTCACTTGCAGATTGCTGTCATTCTGCATTTTCACCATCTCCACCTTCTGACGCCCCTTATTCTTTTTCCTCGCCATGGCTACAGATGAATACACAGATAGAGGCAGGGGAAATGGGTTGGTATTTGTAGGGGATTTGAGACAAAGTCAAAATCTCTTGAGGAGTTGGACACTGTCATGTTTGAGGTGGAAATTGTCTGGGTTTTATCTCCAATTAAATGATATACTTATTTTGGACACTAGAGAATCTGCCTGTGATTTACATATATGGTATGGACATCAAGAGAAAAAGAACTGTGATGTTCCTCTTGTTAGGTGCGGACCCTTTTCCCAGTTCATCACCCATTACAGCTTGGATGTGATTTCTGATGTCAAAATAAAAATAAAAATAATTAAAATTAAAAAATAAATAAATACAAATACAAATAATAATAAAAAAATCAAGAATTTATCATTTGAATTATGGAAGGGTTTAGTTAGAAGAGGTTCTCTGACACATACACATATTGCTCTTTTGCCAGAAAATACACATATAGCATCAAACCATATATCAAATGACATGAATTTAACTTCACCCTTCTAAAAGACAACTGAAAACCTATAATTATGACAGGAATTGTATGGAGTTGAAGAGAAAAAAGGTAAGAAACTTAAAATTGTGATTTGGGAGATGGAAATTAGTATTGTCCTGTTCCATTATGATCAAGGGAATCATCGAGGGCTGTTTGTGTACTTGAAATTAAACCTTTCCCGGCTTTCGTATTTGTTCCCATATAAGGTTATATTAAGTATGCATTGAACTATCTGGGAAAATCTGCAGATATGGTAAAGTTCCAGCTGATCTGGGGACGTTTTAACGGTTAAAACTGCTTTCAGCAAATCTACATCGATAAGCTGCATGAATAATCATAGCTGGACTAATTATAAGAGGACACTGAATTGTTCAAGACTCATCATACATGAGTATGCAAAATGAAAATGTTCTCTTCTTCCAACAGGGGGATAAGTCCTGGGTTTTAGGAAGTTCTTTTCAGCTTTAAGACAAGAACAGGATTGCCTAAGGTGAAATCATTACTGTCAACCCCTGCTATGGTGCTGGGGTATTGAACAAGAAAAAATTCCAAAGCATTAATCAAATAAAACTTTTGTTTTATTAAATAATCAAATCAGAAGGTATAACTTACTGTCACACTAATTGTAATGATCTCAGGAAGGGACAGAGGTTTTTGTCTCACAAAATGTGCAGATGTAATGCCCTTAAAAACCAAAACCAAAACCAAAGGATGTACAAGGAATGGAGTTTTATGATGCTTCAAGGTGATTAAATGATAAATACCAAGTTGGCTTCGGATGTAGAAATGCAAACCTGTGACAAGAACTATGGAGTCAGCAGTGATAGATCTTTCAGCTGCTGGCTATCCACCATTGATGGTTCATGAGTGAGGGCACACTGAGCAGTTGTCGTCTTTGGGAAGACTATGACATCCCAGATGGAACTTGCATCTGCTAACAGCATAATTAATCTATCCAAGCCATAAGCAATTCCTCCTGTAAAAGAAAATAAACGTTCACTTATTAATATTACAATCTTTCTATTTCATGCCCTTGGGGCACAGAATAAAGCCAATGATTGGCTAATGCTTTTTTCATTTTGTATTGAAAAATGTAAAAGTTAATTTTAATTTAAATCATGAACACCACGTGTTTGTTTTTTATTGGCTCATTTAAAATTAAAGTTAAAACTTGTCAAATTAATCTAAAAAACAAGTCAACTTTCACATTTTTCAACACAAAAAGTGATAATTATTGGCTAATCATTCCTCCGTATCAAGTGCCCTAACATAACAGAAAAAACTGTTAATATTATTCTATAAACGGGAAAAGTGATCTTCCGGTGCTTCAGAGAATTGTTGCCACCACTGTTAATCCTACTTCCCCCCTCCCCTCCCTTCTCCTTTTAGCTAGTAGAACAAAAATATGGCTGAATCACATGATCGAAGTACTGTGAGATATGAAGATCTGCTAATTATTTATAATTTGGATGAAATCTGCCAATCAAAAACAATTAAAAAAAAAAAGGGTGAAATCCTGGGTATGCTGTCTATACCATTTGGAGGAGCCCCCATGTCTAAAGCTTCAAGAAGATAGCCAAACTTCTCTTCAGCCAGTAAATAAAGTAAAATAAAGCTAATGTTATTGGAAAGTACTGTAAGGTTGTCAGATCTCAAAGATAACAAGCAGAAATGACAAACAGAACCCCAACCCATGTGTACTTCCAGATAATCAATTGTTCATATATAACATTAAAAGCATGTTTTTGAATTAGTAACACAAACGGTTCTTCTCACCTGTTCAGGGGAGATACCAATAATTTCCAAGACCTTTTGTTGGATGTCATGTCTATAAATTCTCAAACTTCCTCCACCAATCTGATAATGCACACAGGGCAGCAACAAATTTAGTTATCATCCATAATAGGAACATGTGCAGTTAGCTTCAACATTTAAAGTTGCAAGAACCCCAACACTGTAAATACCTCAACTCCATTGTAAACCATATCATAAGCAAGGCCACAAGCAGAAGAAAGATCCCCCATGTCTTCTGGGTTTGGAGCAGTAAATGGGTGATGCAAGGCCTACAAAGTAACTAAATTTTCAACAAAATGATCTGCGAGATTTGAAACTGAAACAAACGGAGGATATTAATTTCTTAACTAAAATCACTGAAAGAATAACAATGACATGACACAGACCACAAGCCTCTGCTCTGAATCATTCCACTCAAACATTGGGAAATCAGTCACCCACGAGATTGAATGCCTGGACTAAATGTTAAAATTGAAGAAAAAGCTAAAGTCAGAGAGAAAGAGAGAGCAACAATTACTATAGATTCAATGCCTAAAGCCAGTAAAAGACATACATGGTCAACCAAACCTAGTTCATTGGCCACAAACAGTCTAAGACGATCTAGAGTTTTGTTAACTGATGCATGGTGACCCACTGCAAACAAGATTAGATCACCTGCTCTTGCTGAGCACTGTCTCAATAACTGATCTCTCTTTGTTGGATCAAAACCAGATACTAATGCAGGAATTCCCTCAACCATGCCTTAAATAATATTATAACCCATTCATATTAAAACCAACTTTTTGGTGGAGGAGGAGACGGAGTAAAGTTGAAAGATCGACCTTACCATCATCCAAACCCTTTAGGAAAGGCAAACCCTTTGCTCCAGATTTGATTGCTTCATTATAAATGCCACCTTTCTTAAGAGCAGTATTTGAATAACTTTTAGCACCAGATGGCACACAAACAGCTTTGATAGTTCCCCCATTTTTAAGTGTATCCGCAAAAACCCTAAAGGAAGACTCTGAGAAAACATCAGATACCTGCAGCTCCAATGGAATGGAAAATAAAGACTGATCAGAAGCAACTTAAATAGCAGGCATATATGATTTGTTAAAGACATGGAAAGAGAGTTATTTTTCAACTCAAGATCAAATCTGATGTCTGGTCTGTCTGACCCATATCAATCCCTTGCCTCAGCATATATAAGCCTTGGGAAAGGGTTTGGCAGCTGAACACCTTTAATCTCTAGAAAAAACTGCAGTGTATAAAATGAAGCTCCAGCAAAATACTCAGAAAGAGTGATTTTACAAGAATTATCAGGGCATACTAACAACACACTGACCTTTCTGATCAATCTTCATTCAGCTTCAGCATAACCTCAAAGGGAGTGAAAGCCATTTCCATATCAAGCTGTGTGAACTCAGGCTGTCAGTTCTCAAATCTTCATCTCTAAAACATCTGAATAGCCAAAAAATTCAAAAATAAAAAATCCTAAATTCATTGTGACCCTGCCCCACAGTAAGGTAGCAGACACTAAAATCAAAATGACACCTGCATCTTAATTGTGTGACCCTGCCTATGTGTAGGTTAGCAGAAATTAAAATCTCAAGTACCTCCAGTTATTTGCATTAAAGGATGTCATTAACCTCATTATAAAAGAATGGAGAATTTGAACTCAAAACTGTATATCATTTCACTAGTAAAGCAAGACTATTTAATAGAGTTCCTTACCAGGACCAGGCTCATTTGTTCTCTTTATTTTCAGTAATGGAAGGAAAATAAAAATGGGTAATACACATAATCATTTGAAATGGAAAAGGCAAAGTGAAGCCCCAGTTGAACCAGGAAGCCATCACACGAATGCTGCAACACTGTCCTAGAACAAACTGCAGAACCTTACCTAGCTATTTGGTAATATTTATCAAATCCAGATACCATTAACATTTGCTTGAAAAGCTGTGGGCTTTGAGGCAAAGCATAGAATGTTCCTTACTTCAAAATACAAGTTAGAGTAAATTGCCAGCCTCAAAGAAAATATACCAAGAAACAAAAACCATTTTGTATTGAATTGATGTTATAAGTGGCTACAGAAGAATAGTGGACATTGGATACCTGAACTCTTGAGGGCACTAAATAATCCCGAGGACCTTCTGGAGTAGATCTAGAGAGCATTGGTGTTTCAATCTACCTTATAAACATGAAAAAGTCAGAATTAAAAAAAAAAAAAATTTAAAAAGAAGAAGAAAGAGAGAGAGTGAGAATAACTGAATCACTAGATATAAAGTAGAGACATTTTTTGGTATAAAACAGACTAGATAGGATAATATCTCCACAAAACCACGCACATCCTTTAGATATCTTTGAATAAGTTTGACCACTTTATGACACAAGAGGATGTTAAAATTCATTTGTTTCCAGCGTAGATCAAGACAATGATATCTATCAACATTAATTTTAGTCCACTCAGTATGTCTCCCAGCAATACAAATTAATTCAACACCCAGAAATAGCACAAGAAAATAATCCCCAAGCCTCAGTAAATACAAGAGTTCAAAAAGGGAAACAAAGCTCTCTAAGTTAGGGATGAAACAAAAAAACACTCGAAACTACCAATGTTACCATCTTATCAACTAGTCTAGTGCATCTGAGTTCTTGACTAAAAAAATAAATATAAATATATGGTCAGAATTTTATAAGCTACCTCAAACGAAACTCCTCTTTGACAAAATCCTTTGCACCATCGGCTGTTGTGACCAAGAATGGAAGCTTTGATCTCACAGCATTCAATACTTGAACAAACTCCGCAGCAAACTGGCACACACAATTTTAAAAAATACAACATAAAAATAAACAAACCAATAAGAATATATTAATAATAACAACGACATGTTGCAGATACAGTGATGTATACCCCTATTGAGCCAGTTTTCATTTTCTTATTGACAGACTCGCTTGGCCTAGGCCTGACAACACCTTCAACCGCAATCACATATTCAAGCCTCAGGTCGTTGATAGTTGAATGAGCAACAGGAAACTCATCTGGAAGTGTTGTAACCTATAAAACAACAATACCAATATTACGTTCATACCTTAACAACTAAAATCAACTTGATAAAAATTACTAACAATCAAAGGCTGCAAAGTATAGAGAGTAATATTGAATCCCATTTCTTTTGAAGTTAAAACAAATGATTGTCGAAAAATTTGATTTTTTTTTTCCCCAAAAGAATACTCGTATGTGTGTACCTGGACGATGCCATTGTAGTCTCTGAGGTTGAGAAACGTGAGGCCACCATGGACTCTTAAGGGCAACCCACCCGCAAAGGTGAACCCTTCTACCCACATCTTCAGAGGACAATTCACCACACAATGCAGTGAGGGAGACCCATTGGAGGGAATCGTTAAGGGGAACTGGTGCAATCGCATTTGGGGTATCAGCGGTTGCAGAAGGAGGATGAGGTTGGAAAGTGGAAGCAGAGACAAAGGAAAGGCATTGGCTACTTCTAGGCAATGCTTTTGGGGACCTGGCTAGGATAATGGTTGGTAGAAAGGAGATGGGCCTGGCGCGTAGGAAGAGGAAAGGAAAGGACTTTAGTAGCAGCAACATCTGAGAGGCTTTTGGGGTTTATGCAAAACAGTATCTTTCTTGCTATTGGTGACACAGAAGAGTAGGGGTTCAAGGATTGAGCGTTCGTGTGTAAGCTTTCCTCAGTGAATGTTATCCCAGCGGCCGGATCCGGGACAGAATTAGCGGGCGAGACCCGTAACCAGCAGCCCATTTATTATACGCACATGAGTGTACGCTTACAATCTCAAGCTACCGTTTGCATATTCGGATTTTTTCGGTCTGGACTGCAGTCCAGGCGGCGAAAGTGGAGTATTTTTTTTTTTCTTTTTACAAGAGAAAATGATTAGATTAGTATTAGTATACGTGTTTTGTAAGAGTATTGAACATTGAGAAAATGATTAGATTAGTATTAGTATACGGTGTTTTGTAAGAGTATTAAACATTGAAATTAGGTGCATTTCAGCTACTATTCAATGAGCACTAGATCACATGAGCCATTCCACCAACTGTTCAACGAGCACTGAGTCACATGAGGATTGCTTTTTCTTCATAACTCATTGCGCACTTTTTTATGTAGTTTAAATTGAAAGCAATTCTCGTGTGATCTAGTGGTGACCACACTATTTATTGGATAGCAAATGGAATGCATATAGTTCTAAGGTTTGATTTTCTTACAAAACAATAGATACCAACACCTAATCTAATTATTTTCCCCTGTCAAAAAAAAAAAGAAAAAAAAAAGTTTTTGTTGTAAAATTAATAAAAATAAATAATTAGAAGAAGATGAAAGCATTAGATAGATATAGTGAGGTAATGTAAAAATATATCATATTTTTATTTTATTTTTATCATTACGTTTATAAGAGTGAAATCCCTATATATAAGGTCAATGAGTGACAGGAGCTATAAGAAATAAATATTTACTGGATGAAAAGTTGTAAGAATTAATCACTTATTAATTAAAAAGTTACAAGTTAATCCTATATCACAATTCTGATTGTGTTAGAGAATAGTTTGTTAATTACTTTTAAATAAAAGTTAATCACCATTATATACATGAAAAAGAAGATGAGTTATTTATCATTATGTTAAGCACATAATGCATGAGCAAGTGAAGAGGTGGAGAGTGGAAAAGTGAGAAAGATGAAACATCACAAATTTTATTATTAGTATTTTTTTTTTATATAAAGACTAGAGATTAATGATCTAATCCTAGATCTACGCTGGCAATGTAAGCTTAACTCTTTATTCGAGATGCATATATGATATCGTATTTATTTATATTTATAATCTTTCTATGATATTATATTTGTTTATATTTATAATCCATCACTGCATCGTAAAGTATACCATTGCCATTTTTATCATCACCATGTAGTTGTACATATAAAGCCATACAAATTTTGAGTTTTAATTCAAGAACCAACATCTAGAAAGGAAATGAAGGTTTCAGATGCTTGTGGAAATGATATTCTAGGTTTGTCTACCATAAAAATTCAAAATTATTATTATCATATCAATATCATCTACATGCTAGCAAATTGGATAAACCAGTATCCATTATTGCAATAAAATGGATCACAAGCAATCCAGCTAATACCATTTAAGCTCAACCCAAGCACCAAGTAATAGTTCATTGGTGTTGTAAATGCCTCTAAGAACATCTTCTGTACCATGAGAATGGAACCTTTTCGAGTCAAGAGAATAATAAACAGGATTGTTGCCAGAAAATCTAGGGAAGTAAACCTTGTTCCTCATGTCTGGAGTTGTTGCAGTCATGGAGAAAGATGAAAAGCGGCTGACATACAGTGTTTGGTTTCCTATATCTTGAAGTTCAATCCAAACCATTTCAGAGATATCCAGGCTGAAAATTCGAACCCATTCCCCGAAGGATCCAACAAATACTGATAGAAGTTTTCCCTTAGACTCTAACAAGTAGCTTTCACAAAAAGAGTTGCAGGGGCATTGAGGATTTTGAAGAACATCAACAACTTCAAAGTACTCAAAGACTCCTAAATTTCCCTCTTTTCCAAGAAAGAAGAAAGTCCCATCATGGAATACAGGAGTATTGCTATCTGTCAGACAGAATCCATCACCAGTGTTGAATGCAAGAAAGTTAAGCCATTCTCTGTCTTCTAAAAAGATGTAGTCGATGTCAAACTCTATTCCATTCTCAGTACAACCCAAGACAAGAATACAATCGGAAGACTCAGGTGAAGTTGAGAAACAGCAGTTAACAACAGAGTCGCAGTTGTGGAGCATATCTGGAAGCCAAATAATTTTCTTTGAAAACGAATTCCAAAGGAACATGGAATTTTCTCTCAGTATCACACACCAACCATCTTTCGAGTAGCATATTCTGAATTCTTCCAGAGAAAAATCAGCGATCTTCATAGGGTATCTTTGGCCGCGCAATGGATCTATGAAATTGCAGATATTATTTTGGGGAAACACAAGCCAAGGAGGTAGAGGATCATTGAACTCAAACCTATCCCAAGCTATGCTTGTCCATTGGATTGGAGGCACTGCCAATCTGGACATTCTGTTAACACCACGGAAGCTTGTGTAATCATGTAGTACAAGATGCCTTGAAATGCCAAAGAGTATATCTGGAGGAAGCTCACAAAATCTTCCTTCAACTTCTATTCCTGTCTCTTTTTCTTCCTTAATTGCTACATGTTTTGAAATCTCTCCAGTCTCCTTTCTTCCTTCAACTAAGTCATTCTCTGTTTCCCCACTACATATCAACAAGAAAATGAAGTTAAAAAATTTTTAAAGACAAGATATCAACTGATATTAATACTCATGGAGGCAGCAGCTGGAGAAGAACTTTTGTTAGTCTTCCCTTTGTATTAGTGTTCATATATAAAATTAAAAAAACTAAATAAGCTCTCTCATAATTTCTGTTTAAAGATTTATTTTACAGTCTCCAGAGATTAAATTAAAAGTAAAGTTGAGATTTGAATTCCTGAGTTAGAGGTCACTCATGTGTTTACTTATTTTGACAAACTGCTTTTAGAAATTACAAATATCCAAAATTATATAAAATCAAAACCAAATTGGCCCCCAAACAAAACAAAAAATCTTGGTTTCAGCCCTGCATGGACAAAACCAGTAATTTAAAACCAAAGAAGCTGCCTGACACCTAAAGATATTGCATCAACAACAAAGGAGAAACCCAACTTACAAAGCAAAAGCAGAACAACATGGATAATATCAATTAACACTACAAAATGTATGATGATGAATGAGTCAGAAAGGAAATTCAACGATAATACCTGAAACGTGGCATCACCCAGGTAGGGAAACACTTTGAAGTTGGTAAATTTGAGAAGGGAAAAGAAACATGAATAGTCTGATCTTCCAAGTTGAATGAGTAGAAGCTTTTAGATGTTGGGGGGAAAAAATATAAATGACTCTCTTCAACTAGTGGCTCGGCAGCAGGGCAAGAAAAATGACATCTATTAGCAAGGAAGAATGCTCTATCCTTGACCCTATCTACCCTTTCCCATTCCATTCTTGAGAAATCCAGCCTGCGAACCTCCACAGCAGTAGGTTCCAAATTATAACTCCCATCCCGCCATTCCCCCTCTCTCAGTGCCACATTAACAATAAAGACTTCTCCATCGGATTCCATCATTTTTAAATCAGAATACCTTCTGTAAAATTTCAAAAATTTAGGTATCCTCAAAGGCAACAACCTTATCACAAATTGATCATGCACTAGCCGCTCAATCTCTACAATTTTCAAACTAAATCTAGTCCGGCTAAATAATTTTCCTCTGCACCAAACAGGACTAATAAGATAATCCCCATCATTATCTTTATAATCTAAATCTCCACTAGCAGGCTGCTCTGTCCATTGCCTATCCCCAATTCTACAAAATATGAAAGAACTAGCATTCTTCTCAAATAGAATAAGCATGCTATCAGGATTACCAGGGGGACCTGAAAGATTAGAGAAGCTGACGAATTGATCAGGCCTAAAACTGAGCGGAGGGAACTGAATGGATTCTGAGGTCGCGGGATTGAAGATGGAGTATCCATTGTCATCATGTACAGTTAACCACCCATCATTGTAATCAAAGATTCTCTTGTCCCGCAATTCAGGTATGGTCTTGATAATGTCCCCATGAGCTCCGATTGAGAAGTTATGCTCCTGCTTGTATTGGGTGATTAACAGCCAAGGAAAGGGTCCCGCTTTGGCCGAAAAATTCTGTCTTTCTTCCTCCATGCTTTTTACAGACAACATGGGATGCAAGCTTTCATGTTATTACAAAAGAGAGAAAGTTTAAGGATTGATGACAGGTGATGAAATGGGAAGGATAAAGGAACTTACTTGAAATGATGAACTAGAATTTTCTTGAGATTGAAGGGATGGGAACATGGGATTTCTTCTTCATAGTCATATGCCTAACCTTCGGCTCGCACTGCTGACACTGTTACAATGTAGGGTTGGGGAATTTAAATAGGTTTTCTGTCCAGTCAACCCACTTTTCTTTCTGGTCTTAACCGGGTCATTGTTGGATCCTCCGGTGGGTTGAGTGTCGTTGAAATCAAACCACACCCGAACCCGTATAAACGGACTCAACAGTTCCGACCCGATAACTTGATCTAAACTTCTGAAAATAGATTGGAGTGTATATTTTAACTTGTGATTTGTAAATAATCTGTAGTATTAACATACATAAGTTATTGACTTAAATAACTCAATGATTATTTTTTTTATTAAAAATAAAATATCTTAAATTCAAATTATATGACATGAAAATGGAGTGAGATAAAAGATAAGACATTATTGCATCCCATTATGCAACTAAAATTAAAAAAATAACATACATAAGTCACCAGGTTCAGTCAGCTTGGAAGTTTATGAGTTGGCCTGTTTGTTTTCTTTTATTATTATTATTATTATTATTATTATAAATATTGCTTTTCTTATTCTTAATTAATTTTTCAATTAATACTCCCATTATTGATTCGTACTTTTCAACTTTCTCCCCTTACTCACATGATTTTGAATTTATTTTAATTGTTTACTCATTATTATTTATTGTTCTTTCTCTAAAAATTGAGTGGGTTTGATAAATTGGATAATAATACAATTAAAAATATTAAAGATGTGATATTAAAATATAAATATAAGAATTTAGTGAAAGAAGTTATTGGAAGAGCAATTTCATCTTAAGAAGAAGCTTAAATTTCTTGATAAATTATGTTTAAAATAATGATTGCAAAATTCGAATTTTACTTTTCAAAAAATTTTAATATTTTAAGTTTAATATTATTAATTAACTTATTAAGATATATAACCATGATTTTTTCTTAATTTAAATGTTTGTAGTAGAGATTATAAATTCTTAGTATTAATCAACTTACATTATTTTAGAAATTTTAAATTTTAATTAAATTTAGATGCATATAATTTTTTTTTTAATATAATAAAATTAAAAAGATAATTAAAAAGAATAAAAATAAGATAAATACATTAAGGTTGAGTTAGGACCACCTTTTACCAACCCACGACCTATTTACGACGCAACTCGTGTATCCCATTTTTCAAGTCTACCAAAGCTGTCCACTAGTGTATTTGAATTAATTTCTTTGATATAACTGATTTGTTAATATTTGATAATTAATTATTATTATTATTATTTATAATTTAAAATATTTAATCCATTTAATTAAATTTAGTAGCTGATAACTATTTTGGAAAAGCAAAAACCAACACCCTTAGACACCGCCCAATATTTGCCTCTGCTGCATATGGAGTCGATGGATTCATATTTCCTCATATGATCCCTTCACAGTTTCACACCCCCAAAGCATTGATGAATACTCGGGCTTCAACAACTTTTTAAAATTTTTTTAATATCAATTAAATCAAATAGAAATGAACTTGAAACACGACTCATTTTACTTTATATATATTTTTTCTAATGAAGCTAATTTGTTAAAAACATTATTTCACAATGAAGTTTCAAAAGATATATATAATTACTATCATATTACATTATGAAAATTTATTATTAACAAATATGACTAGTGAATTTATTTTTTTTTCCACATAAAGGTCTTAATATCAAATTAGTTCATATATTTTTTTTAATTTTAAATTATAAAATAAAAAATAATTTTTATTTTTTTATTTTATTTCAATTAAAATTAAAGTCTCTTATTCATAACAAAAACATTATCACTAATATACTTCGATTAATCAATTAGTTATGAAATACTATTAACTCAATTAGTTAAAACGAAGACTCAAACATAAAGCAAAAACTTACTTTTAGTCTTTTACCTTACTAGATTTATAGGTTTTAATTCATCATTTTATACTATAATATTTCTAGCCCATCATTTATTAGAATTAAAGAAAATAGCCCTCACTTATAATATTTTGTTAGTTTTGTTAGTTTTGTTTGTTGAATATTAACTTTATTAATTGACTATTAGCTGGTAAAAACTTACTTTTAGTCAATAAAGTTGATAGTCATCTAACAAAATAGTTTTGTTAACTGACTGTTAGTTGGTAAAAACCTACTTTCAACTAACAGAGTTAATAATTAGTTAACAAAATTAACAGTCAATCAAAAAAAGTTAACAGTCAGTTAACTAAACTAACAAAATATTATAAAGTGAGAGCTATTTTCTTCAATTCTAATAAGTGAGGGGCTAAAAATGTCATAGTATAAGGTGAGAAGCTAAAACTTACAAACTTAGTAAGGTAAAAGGCCAATAGTAGGTTTTTACCCAAAAATAGAAGCTAACATACAAGCACGCGGCCTTACGCACTTGTTTTCCACAAAAGTTGATATTTTTTATTAGAAATAATAGATTTGTATTATCAATTAAGAAAAATTAAATTGAGGCAAACTAAAGTTGTGGCCTTCTAGGATGTCGCTATTATTAGCTATGGATCTGTCGGGCACTGTGTAGAGAAGGGAAGCCATGTGTCTGTGGAGCAAGCTTTAGAGCAGAGAAGCGAGGATAAGGGTAAGTAAGCTGTGATGTCTGAGGCTCATAGGGGCCAAGGAAAGTTTCAATTTGGGTCCAATATTGCTAGTGCCTCTAGAACAAAGACAATTGAATCTTCAAAAGCTAGATGGGGTGATATGCTTCAAGAGGGGGAAGATGGTATATTGCCCCTGCAAAAACCGAAGCCAATAAGGAGCGGGTCTTCTGTAGTCCAAGAGAATACAGATATAAGGAAGGGTTGGGAATTGCAATATGTAAAGCCTCAGGATCCTTTTGGTGTAGTGGTTATAACTAAGGACGAATGGAATGAGAGGTCCAAGATTTGGCAGAATGCTCTTGTTGGGCATGTGTTGGGCATTAAGCCTAGTTTCAAGGACATGGCTAATTTTGTGAACAATCAGTGGAAGGAATTTCAAGTGCCTAAAGCTTTTATACTACGTAATGGAGTGTTTTTATTTGACTTTGTTGATAATGATGCAAAGCAGGCTGTGCTTGAAAAGAAGTGGACGTTCAATGATCATCCTTTAATGCTTAAACAATGGACTCCAAATGTTGATCTAGATAATTTGGATGTCAGTAAGATTCTAGTTTGGCTTCAATTTCCTGATTTGCATTTGAGTTTATGGAAGCCTAAGAGTTTGGGCAAGATTGCAAGTTACTTGGGGATTCTAATTGCTACAGATGCCTTGACTTCTAAAAGACAAAGGGTATTGTTTGCTCGTATGCTGGTGGAGGTTGAATTTATGGAGCAATTACTTAGATTGGTACCTATGGTGGGTCCTAAAGGGATTTTTCAACAACCATTAATTTTTGAGTGGGCCCATGTTCGTTTTGGTAAATGTAATAATCTTGGACATGAAGAGATGAATTGTAGGGCAAAAACTAGGAAGATATGGGTGGTAAAGCAACCTATTATTGAGTTAGTACAACATAAGGTGCTAGTTCCAAATGTGGAAATTACAACATCTAAAGTTAAAGCTCAGGTTGTAAATACTACGAGTGATCAACTGCTCAAAATGAACTCAGAAGTAACTTCAATACAACTTGAGAAAACTGATTATCATTGTGGAACTATTGTGGTAGTGCAAAATTATGAGAAGATTGATTTGGTTGAAAATGCTATTGGTAGTAAAGGAAATATGCAGGAGGTGGTACAGGTACTTCTTGTCCTGTAAAATGATTTATCTTGCTGCTTGGAATGTTAGGGATTTGAATGACCCTATTAGACAAGTAAATGTTAACAGTTTTCTTTTGAAGAATAACGTTTGTTTAATGGCTATTTTAAAAACTAGAGTTGTATTTGAGAATAGTAGTAGAATTTTGCAGAAGTTTGGTAATCAATGGGGCTAGATACATAATTATAATAATGCTTCTAATGGAAGAATTTGGCTCGTATGGGATAAATTTGTGGTAACTGTTACTAAGGTAATGCAGAGTGCTCAATTGTTGCACTATAAAGTTTCTGTTAATGATAGAAATTTGTCTTTCCTTTGTTTTGTGGTATATGCTTTTAATGTTAAAGTTGAACGTGAGTCCTTATGGAGACAATTATCTAGCCAAGGGCTTGTTAGTGAGCCATGGCTTGTTTTGGGGGACTTTAATACTACTCTTAAGCATGATGAGAGAATGAAGAGTTGTGGGTTTCGTCCAGGAGATATTTATGAACTGCATGGTTTTACTACTACTATGGAGCTTTTCGATTTAAGTTTCTCAAGTGATTTTTATACATGGTGTAACCATCAAACTAGGGAAGATAGATTATGGTGCAAACTTGATAGGGCTCTTGTAAATACTGCCTGGATTTGTTTGTTCCCTAATTCTACAACCTCTTTTCTTAATCCTGGTAGCTCATATCATTCTCCATGTTTGGTAAAACTTGACATTTCAACTGATAGGAAACCAAAACCTTTTCGGTTTTGCGATATGTGGGCTAAACATGAGCAATTTATGTCAATTGTTTAGGAGGCTTGGCAAATTCAAGTTAGGGGATGCCCTATGTTTGTAGTGGTTCAAAAGTTAAAAAGTGTTAAGGGTCAATTAAAGGGGTTGCACAAAAATCATTTTAGTGACCTACAAAAGAAGATTGTTGATGCAAGAACAGAGTTAGAGACTGTCCAGGCTCAAGTGGTAGATAGTCCTTTTGATGGAAATTTGGTTAATAAGGAGAGAGAGGCGCAGCAAAATTATCAAAGCTAGTTAAGGTTGATTTATTGCTTGTAGCTCAGCGTGCTAAGTGTACATGGTTGAGGGAGATGGATGCTAATTCTGCTTTTTTCCATGATAAAATAAAGGAAAGGCAACATAGAAGTATTATTGGGTCAACTATAGACTCGACAGGCTTACAAGTGGTGTAACCTGAGTTAATTAAGAAGTAGTTTTTGATGTATTACCAAAATTTGTTTGGTAAGGCTAAAAAGGATGTCCAAAGTGCTGATTTGGCAGTTATACAAAGAGGTAAAATATTGACTATGGAAGAGGCTGACGCATTATGTAGGCCTTTTTTGAAAGGGATGTGGAAGCTGTTGTGAAGTCAATTCCTAATGGTAAATCTCCTAGTCTTGATGGGTTTACTGTAGGTTTTTATAAGATAGCTTGGTCCATAGTTAAAAAAGATGTAACCAAAGCAGTATTGAACTTCTTTGAGAGTGGGAAGATGTTGGGTCAAATAAATGCCACTAATATCACTTTGCTGGCAAAAACTAATTATCCTAATTCAGTTGGTGATTATAGACCTATATCTTGTTGCAATGTTATATACAAAGTGATTTCCAAGCTCTTGACGCAAAGGCTGAATGAGGTATTGGATAAGTTGGTGAATCATAACCAAGCAACTTTTGTAAGTGGTATATCAATAGTGTCTAATTTGCTAATTAGTTAGGACCTTGTTAGAAACTACCACAAGAAGGGTGGCACTCCTAGATGTTTAATGAAGATTGATTTGAGAAAGGCTTATGATTTGGTGGATTAGGGATTTTTAGAGGATATACTGTATGGTTTGAATTTCATTCTAGGTTTGTCCATTGGATTTTGGTATGTTTATCTACTACTAGATTCTCCATAATCATAAATGGCCAACCAAAAGGGTATTTTGTGGGGAAGAGGGGTTTAAGACAAGGTGATCCAATATCCCCTTATCTGTTTGTTCTAGTTATGGAATATTTGACGAGGAAGCTGCAAGAACTTGAAACAGATGCACATTTCAGGTTTCATGCTAAATGCAAAACTATGAAGTTGACTCATTTAATTTTTGCTGATGATGTTGTGCTTTTCTGTAAAGTAGATGAAAAGTCTCTAGCATTGATGATGCATAAGTTTGATGAATTTTTGAGAGTCTTTGGATTGGAGGTAAATAAATAGAAAAGTCAAATATTCTTTGGAGGGGTAAAAGAGACTATTAGGCATCATATTCTCCAAAGAATAGGAGTTTCAAAGGGGTAGCTTCCTGTGAAATATTTAGGCCTCCCTTTGGTAACAACTAAACTATCTCCAGTGACTTGCTAGCCTGTGGTTGAAAAAGTGCAACGAAGGATCTGCTCTTGAGCTACAAAGCTGTTATCTTATGCTGGGAGAATTCAGCTTGTGAATTCAGTGTTGTTCCATTTACAGGTATATTGGAGTGGAGCTCTTTTGCTGCCAAAAAAGGTTCTCAAGAATATTAATTCAGCATGTAGGAATTTTATTCGGAGTGGGAAGTGGAATCAAAGTGCCATGGCTTTGGTAGCATGGGATGATATGTGTACTCCCAAGTGTGAGGGTGGGCTTGGTATTAAGCAATTGGACATGTGGAATAGAGCTACCTTGAGTAAGCTAGTGTGGCTCATATGCAAAAATCATGATAATATTTGGGTCTGTTGGGCAAAACAAGTGTTATTGAAAGGTAAAAATTTTTGGGAAGTAGAGATCCCAACTAATTGTGCCTGGACGTGGAGGCAGGTTCTAAAATTGAGACCAGTGTTGAAGAAGTATATCTGGGTACAAGTGGGAGACGGAAGGCAAACTTCATTGTTCTATGATTGGTGGATGGGTGAATCAAGACTCAATGATAATCTCTCAAGTTCAGATATCTCAACTTGGGGGCATGATCTACTAGTTTGTGATTGGTGGAATGGGAAGGAATGGAGCATACCGGATAGTTTTGTGAGAAGGCATCCTCATATTGTTGAAGTTATTTCTCAGCAAAGTCTATCTCGGTCAGCAGATGTTGCACTGTGGAAAGCAACTAAAAATGGTATGTTTTCTATTTCTAGCTGTTATGATAAAATGAGAAGCAGTAGAGGGAAAGTAGACTGGCATAGTTTAGTATGGTCGAGTTGCATTTTCCCAAGGCATAGTATTTTTCTGTGGCTTGTGGAAAGAGGTAGATTAAAGACAAAATTCCTTTTGGTTCAAAGAGGCTTGGAAATAGATGCTCACTGTTGTTTTTGTGGAACCAAAGATGAAACTTGTGACCATCTCTTTTTTTATTGTGATTTTTCGCAAAGTATTTGGAGAGAGGTGCTAGTTTCTTTTGGTATTCACCGAAATCCTTGTGCTTGGTCTCATGAATGGAGATGGATTCAGCGAGCTTGCAAGGGAAGAAGAGTGAGTAAGAGGAAGATAAGAACTGCACTTGCTGCCACTATTTATCTTATTTGGCATGAGAGAAATTATAGAATTTTTCAAGGGAAAATGAGGTCTGGTACATTGATATGTAGAGAAATTTTGAGTTTTATGAGATTAAAGTTTTGATGTCAGAGATTTTCCCTGGGTATGCCGGATGCAAATGTATATATGATCTTCATTTTAAATGAAATTGCTTGCCAATTTCAAAAAAAAAAAGAAAAAAAAGTTGTGGCCTTGTGGGTGTAGTACAGTGCTTTAAGATTAGTGATCAATAATTTTATTTAAATAAAT